TCTCCGAAACGAAACATAAAAAATTTCAAAACTTTTTGCATATGATAGTCAACATATTCAAAATAGTGTGAGTAAAATGAGATCCCAATTAACGGAACTGTTTTCGAGATATTCAATTGAAACATTTTAATTAATCTTCAACAAAATCTAACACACCCTGTATCTAAATGAAAAGCAATATTGATTTCGCTAGTGAGTTACTTCAGCTCTCAATGAATCACCAGTATCAATCAATCCCTTTTTTTGTGATCAAAAACAAGCTGTCAATTGTTTTCCAAAAGGGGTATAACACAAAATTCAAAAAACTCATATTTCGAATAGAGATAGTTATCAAGAATGAAAATACATTTTCGAAGCCTACAATAGACTGAAACTATAATGTCTCACCCAAATATAACTTGTTGGTTTTGGAATAGTGCTCGAATTTTTTTTTCCGAAAAATGAATTTTTTGACCGTGCCTGGTATACATCCTGATTTACAATAATTCATGTGATCATAACTAGACATGTATTTGAGTTCCGATCAATACATTTTCTAGCTTATTTTGTCTTATTTATACTAAAAAAACAGTTTTTTTCTTTGTCAATCCTACCCCGATACGACGTTTTTACGAACTTTGTCGGCTTATATCTCAGAAACTAAACATACAAAACTCTTCAAACTCGCATATTTTTCTAATGAACCATCCCACAACAATATAGAATAATTTCAGCCAATTCGACCAAGAGCCAATTTCCCGTGTTTTCGTGCGGGGTCCTTTCAATTCTGGATATTTTTTGAGATTTATCAATTTGAGGTTCTATCAAATGGAGCATCAGTAATTGAATGCAGTAGTAATGAGCTGTATGTTACATTCAAAATAAAATTGTGCCACGCACAGCGAAATAAAGAAATCTGGCAACATCGGTGATATGATTTTTGACTTCCTCAGGCCGAACAGCCTTCAGGTACTGGAATTCATCGATATCACATCTATTGTTTCGAAGATATTCAGCAGATTGTATCTCTTTCTTCCTAAAATGCTGATTTGCCAAATCTCAGAATATATCAAGATTTGAAATGAGCCAATTTGAGATTTTATCAAATTGAGCATCAGCAATCGAATGCAATAATGATAAACTGGGTGGTGCATTTAAAAACACAAAGTTATATGTCACGCACAGCGAAATACAGAAATGTGGCAACATTGCCAATACAATTTTTGATTTCCTCATGTCAAAAAGCCTCCAGGAACAGAGTTTCATTAGGATCGCATTTGTCGTTTTCGAGATATCAAAAGGTGTTTCCACACATATGCCCAACCCTATACTTCCACGAGAACTCTTCTTCAGAAATATCTGCTATCATTTCTTCATCACTAGCAATACCAGACAAGCTCAGCCAGGATATCCCTTCGAGGTCAGCCTTGAGATATGTCGAACAAATCTTTACCAGAGCTCGTTCGTCTATTACGTCTATAGGGATTCCCTTTCGTGCGCTTCGAGCGATTGAAAAAAGCTTTGGAATCCTTTGCCAAAGAAAGTTTTTTCAATAACTTATAATCTTCAAAAGTTCGAGAACAATTCTAACTATCATCGTGAAACCTCGTGCTTACCTAGGGTGGGAGAGATAGTGGATATCTTCTTATTCTTCTTCATCCCTCACCAGAAGTTATAACATGTACACGGGTTATTTTTGAAGCTTCAAATTGTATCGATAATTTTCCGATTTCAATATAATCGTATTGTGGGTGTACCACTATAAGAAAGGACGCCAGCTGTATCTCGGAAACTATTTGCCGCACATGTTTCAGAAAAAAATATTCATATATAATAAAACAAGTAATAATATTTTGCCAGAAATATTCGGTGATTGTTACGACAGCTTGTTGCCTAGTAATCTCGTGAATGACATTGTTATCGAAACTACGAGCCGTAGGCGAGTAGTTTTGGATCAATGTCAAGAGCGAAATTAGAGCAGCAAGCTGGAGTATGTCAATCGACGAATATTTCCAGGAAAAATAGTATCACGAGTTGTATTCGTATGACTATTTCATGATTGAATGAGACAATATATATAAGAAATAGGAAACATAATTTAAGTATATTCCAACTCAAACTGCGAAGAAGAACATAATGATAGTAATGAAATACAGAATTCAATTTTTTAGAAATTAACTATCTACTTATAGTTATTCACAAAGTGGAATGTACAATTTTGATGAACAGTATTTTGTTTATTATCTTGGAGATGGTTGCTATCCAATTCGAACAAAATAAATTGAATTTATGTGACATGAAATAATTAAAAAAAAAAAATTATTGTCGCCTACGGGCTTAAACCACCGACCTTTGTATCACCGCGCAACAACCCTATCAGTTGAGCTACATCACCTGGTTATTATAATAGTTACAATAACTTGAGTGACTGAAAAAGATTACTTGAAAAAAGAATTTGAATTCTAGTATTGTTGTGTCAGACCGTCAACAAATATGCAAACTTATTAAATTACACATGAAACGTCCAGCCGGAATGAAATTGTCTCGCCTTTCGTACAAAATGTCTCACTAACGCGAATTATAAGTAAATAAAATGAAATAGGTTATTGTCTCTTGTGTCAGTTGTGTCAGCTTTGAATCCAAAGCTATCTTGACCAGACACGATGTCAAAATTTTATCGCGTATAAACGAGGTTTGTTGGTCACGTGTGGGTCAATTCGGCTTCTGTATTGGTAGAGCAAGTTCGATAAAATTTGATAAACAAAAAATACAGAAGAAACCGTGAAAATGGTCGATTCCGATTGGTTCTCGAGATCAAGAGTGGAATAGTCATGATAAAAGTGGCCAAGAAAAGTCTTTGGAAATTATTTTTAAGTTTCCAGGACAGCCCCTAGAGGAAATAATTGCATTGGCCAGTTCAATGAACGGGTTTTTATGTAGGTAAATTTGATATCAAGACTTATCAAAAACACTTTTTCCATGTTCTCGAGTTGATTTCCAATCATTTCTCTTTAAATAAAAGAGGTGGGGAAGGATGAATAGTACTTTGAAAAAACTCTCATAACTACAGTTCGATGTAACGGAATTCAACGATCTTGGTCTCATTATGAAGGGTTTGCTTGGTTCTTCCAGATGAATCACGAATCAAGTCGATTTAAATCCTGTGGTGGCCGCTAGATAGCATCGTTTGAAAAATCAGACAATTTTCCATTTTTTTCGAAAATTTCAAATGGAACCATATATTCATTTTACTATAATATGAAAGTAGAGCAAACGAGAAGGAAAACGTTGAAAACCGCAAATTGATACCTCTTGAGGAACCGGTGAAATACTGGAAATAATATTATGAAAATATTCACCACAGGAATCTAACTTCAATAATCGTAATCAGAAATATCCTGTATCTACAAAATTATGATTTCAATAATTCATTTATTTTGGTTTCACAAACTGCTGTTATACCTCACAATAGTGGAGAAGACTCTCAGTAATGACATAGCTAATTGAAATGTAAGTAGTGATGAGTAAAGGCTCAGGAATGAGAAAAGGCAAGTTGGCTTTGAATGAAAGATACGTCGAAATATATAATTGAAGTTCCATTGGAAGTTTTCACTGTTCATTGTGGATTGCTAATATTATTCCGAGTATTTCTCCGGTTCTTCAAGAGGTATCAACTCGCGGTTTTCACCATTTTTCTTCTCGTTCACTCAACTTTCATATCATAACAAAAAAAATATATGGTTCCATTCAAAATTCTCGAAAAAAAATGGCGAATCTGCTGATATTTCAAACGATGCTCTAGCGACCACCATGGGATTAACATCAACTTGATTCATGATTCATCGGAAAGATCTGAAAAAACCCTTGATAATGAAACCAAGATTGCTCAATTCCGTTACACCAAACTTTAGTACTATTCATCCTCCCCTCCCTCTTTTATTTAAAAAGCTAGCGCAATTGTTTTTGGATCGAAATGATTGGAAATCAACTCGAGAACATGGAAAAAGTGTTTTCGATATGTCTTGATGTATCAAATTTTCATAAAAACCTGTTTTTTAAGTTGGCCAATGCAATTATGCCCTCTAGCGGCTGTCCTGGAAACTTGAAAATAATTTCCAGAGATTTTTCTTAGCCACTTTCATCATGAATGTTTTTTTTTCCGAAACCTGTGCGGCAAATAGTTTCCGAGATACAGCCGGCGTCCGTTCTTAGTGGTACACCCGGTACTATTTATTTCGATAGTGTATTATGTGTGTATTTGCTTTTGGGTGTATGATGAATTGACATTCATCATACAGGGCGTGGAAAGAAATTCTGAATTGAGACTCTATCACGAATCTGCGATTAGAGGTCTATAAAAATCAGGAAATTAGTTGTTTTCTGTTGAATATTCAGAATGATGTATGCATATACATATTTTTGTCTGAAGGAGAATGCAAATTCTCAATTTCAGAAGTTTTTATATTTTATTTTCAAACTCTTATCGTGTGTGTTCAATAGATATAATTCAATGTTCGTCGTGGCATATAGCCAGGAAAGTAGTTGTAAAAAGAGTAAATATTCTCATCACATAGAGAATGCGAATTCTCAATGTATTGCTTTATATAAATATATATCCATTTTTGTATGTTCATAATTTATCTGAGAATATTCCTTTTCAACAATGTGTGTATTTCAATTTACCTCTCGGTTGTCTTGTGATCACACCATTGAGAAAATATCTGATACTGTTCTCCTTATACAATGAATAACTGATGAATTACAAAATACTCTTTCTTAATCACAATTGGAAAAGGTGTATGAAAACCGTAGGGACCATCAATGGAATGATATCTGGCAGCAGGCCAAGAACATATCAGTTAATCATCGACGAGACAGACAGAGCAAGGTGCCGAAATCCACCATTGGAAAGACATCATCGAATCAGATAAGATTAGTTTCCTATACGAAGTACCGATCGAGATAAGATTTGTGTCGATTATCTCAAATATCAACTAATATTCAGTAGTGCGTGGGAGGACATGGATAGTTCGAGACTTCGTGTTGTTTTATCAAGCGTCTTGATTTTTGCAGCTTCCACTTCTGTGAGTATTAACTGAAAATTTCACACCAAACATTTGCGATCAATTTGAAGCCTGTATTTCGTATCGTTACCATAGCAACTGAACAAATTTCTTTGAAATTGTTTCCTCCTCCTTGGAGGATGGGGGACGGAGTATGGAATTACACTGGAAATTTTTTGACGTTTATAGGTTGAATGACATTTACATTCAAATTCAGATCATTTCGAGTTCATTCTATGAGTCAATAAATGAAAATCATTTATCAACAGTTCACCATATAATATTATGTAGGTATACTTGCAAATTCGAAATTTACAAAAACACATGTTGTTACTATAAGTTAGTTCTTACATTTCATCACAAACAACCATCAACATGTGAATTTTCTTACAGAATACCTTTTTAGCTTCAATCAATATCCAGGAATTTTTTCTCGAACACGAATATTCAGAAAAAATTGTTTTCAAAATATTCGTATTCTCGAAAAAATTTCCGGAAATATTTGAAGCTCTCGTGATATTACAAGTGAAAACACGAACTTATATTCACTATATTAGTATACGGTGTGTGCGATTTCAACTCAAAAACCTTCCTAATTTGGAATCTCTTTCCAATTCTCAGAAACATAAATTCGATAACATATGAATAGGGAAAATTAAGACTAGTTGATGTACAAGGTGTCCAAAAAGGATGTACCATGAATTCTACATGATAAACAAGAAATCAAAATAGTCTGTTTGAAATCAAATTACCTCTATGAAAAAATGCACCATTGAGCCGTGAGAGGACGATGAAGAATGATTTTATTCAGATATTCCTGAATATTTCAAAATCCTTGAGAGGTACTAATTTAAAATTCGCAGGGGGCAATACAAGATCATGAATTTGCATGAAATCCATCCCAGCAAACATTTTGATACGGGGCATCAATGGCCTAATATATTTTTCCCATACCTGACATCAGCGGCCCAGTAAATGGTCCCATATGCGGGACTCTATATATCAGTACACTGCGGCCGGCAGCTGGTCCCAGTGCTGGGTACCCAGCAATCATATTCAGTTCACCGGCAAAAGGCCAGTACAACAAAATCTACACATTGAGTTCTTCATAGCAAGCCCAGCATATACATAAATGATGGGACTGTAATGGCCAATTAACGACATTGGTTACATCGAGGTAGGGAAGGGGTAGGGGTTTTAGAGGTCCAATTGATCTGAGAGTTCTAGTTCCTCTTTATTTCACAATATAACCCTCTCATCATAAATCAGACACTTATCAGATTCCAAGAAAACAATTTTATGAATGACACAATGATATCTTCTTGACCTCTATATGTTCTTCAACTATGAAACTTCTTGGAGTGACTGCTTACTGGTGTAGTACTTCTGAAATATAAAATGTATCATCAGTTATTATATTAGTGGCCTATGAGTTGCATGAGTTTATAACTTGATGATATAGTCTGATAACGTGATAACATGGAGCTTTTCAATTCTCATTATTTCCTTGGCACAGGTATTTCTGTAGCTGAAACCTCATTGTTATTTAGTTCTTTATTATAGAGACACGTTCACATATCCTAAGATTGTTTTTGATAGCAACGAACGAGTTAAAATGATAGTTGCTTTTGGGAAAGTACAGCAAACTCCAATTATTATGATCATTAGGTGTATGAGGTAACGAGATACCAAACACATGCATTTAAATATGAAATTCGAAACACTATGTAGGTAGATTGATACTTCCTCAATATTATCATAATTGAAGAATTCGTCTTCTATCATTATCAATTGAGAATACTCCTGCCATCATGAATAACCACCAGGGAAAGAGAGGACCACATTAATTCGACATACACAAACTAGTACGCGATCACCACTCACGAGAGTCAGCCATATTAGTCACATATAATATTGATCAGCTGATTGTTGATGTAGACGTTCCCAGAAATCCACCAGGGGGACGAGTAGCGAACATGAAATTGGCCAGCAAAGGGCCAGATCTCGTTAGTATTCTAATAGCTCCAGACATCTTAACATCAGAAGGCCATCATCGTATTTTTAACTGATGGTTACTTGGCATAGAAAAATCATCGGCCATTACCAAAACCCCGGCATCGTCACTTCCCCAGACTAGCCTGCACTAGGCCAGACTTCTCCCGCTAGTTCAATGTTCGCTGGGATGTCATATCGGTGCAATGCACTATTTTTTCAGGGAGATCAGGAGCTATTGAAATCCATTATAAAAAATCTAGGGCCGTATTTAAAAAAACGATGATTGAAAATCTGATAACAGCATCTTGTAAAACCGAAAAATTTCAATGAGAATGTGAAATTTGTTCTGTTACATTCATTTGGATAAAGTCAGACAAAAATAGAAATGAAACCGCCAATATTCGGTTTTTTCCAAAAATTTTCGAAATTTTTCAAATTTTTGTTTGGCATGAAATTGCGCAACTTTGTCTCAATTTGATTTATTTATTGATTCATTGAATTCAATTCAATGCATCTACTCGAATTTCACTCACCCGGTTACATAAAAAAATGTATGGCTGTCGATAACGAAGATACAGGGTGTTATGGGAAATTGCCACATAACTTTGATGACTGATATTTCAGAAATGATTCATCGTAGTTAGATGAAATTTTGAAGCGACGTCTATTGAAACTATATTGCCTTATGCCGTTTTCAATGTACACGGCACACTTTGACCAGTTCCAAAAAAAATGAAACAAGAACGTTCGAACTTTGAACTGAATTCAACGTTTTTGTTGGATATAATGAATTGACAAAAAATAGTAGTTGAGGAAAAAAGCGACTACCTACTGATGTTTGATAATTTGGAATGTGAATTTTTATCGAAATTATAAATCGGTATGATTAGGTCATGACCCTATTTTTTTGAATTTCTATTGAAATAAACTATGATTTTCATTTCATGATGTGCCGTGTGGCGTTTGTTGATAATCACTGGCAATCAGAACATGAAGAGAATTATTCAAATCCTGCTATGTATAATATAGAAGATTTCCAGACCTAAGATTACCTACGTACGCTACATGAACATCAGAAATAATAAAAGGAAGAGCAAATGCTTCCTTATCACTTGCAGAAATGCATCAAGAACAAATAAATCAGTTCTCTATGTGGTGATAAACGGATCGAAATCTGAGTTCAGCGTTGCAACCAAAGTACATGCCTTGAGAGTGTGAAAACAAAATATGATTCGTATATCCTTCCTCTAGAGCTGAGAAAATAAAAAAATTCAACTATCATGAAAAAAGTTTTCAAAAATTTCAGCGTGTGACCCCCTTCACCCCGCATTTTGCGGAGAGGATCATACCTTTCAAATGTCTCAAAAATCACTTCAAACATATCAATGGGTGGAGAGGATCAAGGAAATCCATATTAAAAAATCCTAAATTGATCACCAACAAAAAATGGAACAGAAGTTCATGAAAATATAGCTATTCATCGTCTCAAGGTGGTCAAAGAACTGCGAACTGTTCGGGCGCCCTCTCCGTATACTCAGTCGAACCCTTTTGACAGCTTTCACAGCCCCCTTCAAATATTACTGGGATGGCCTTCTGGCATAACTGTTTTTCTTAATTTTCCATCAACTATCGGCATATCTTCAATTTACGTGTGAGCCGCTCCACCCTCTAACAAGTGAACTTATTCATTTTTTCCTCATAACTTTTCGAAAATACAGGGTGTATGTGAAACGTCTTTACAAAAACATACCACATATTCCTTAGACCAGAATAAGTCGATTTAAGTAAAATTGCCTCAGTACAAAGTTTCATCGTTTGGGCTCCAGAGGGCCTTGAAGTTACAATTTTTAAATCGTTTTTCCCATATATATTGAAAATGGCATATGGGATTTTGCTGAAATTTGGTATATTGATAGAGTTTGATGTGTCAAAAAGAATGGTGTCAAAATTTTGTCCGATAATAATACATGGGCGTAGAACTTGATTTTTTTAAATAATTGCACCTTTAAAAATTCAACGCTAATGGAAGAGAAGGAGTTTGAGTATGAAATTTAGATTGCGCAACTCATTCACTTTAAAAAAGGTACTCGTGGAAAGACTCGATTGCTCTCATCATGGTTTCGACGAAATTTGCATTTTAGTAATTTTAGAACATAAACCATGAGAGTAAATTGAGTGTTATCAAGGGTACTTTCTTGTAATAAATGAGTACCCAATCTGAATTTCATACTCAAACCCCTTTTCTGCCATTGGCGTAGAATTTTCAAAGATGCAATTATTTGAAAAATCAAGTTCAATTATTCTCAATGTTCTAAAATTACTAAAATGCAAATTTCGTCAAAACCATGAGAGCAATCGAGTCTTATCACGAGTACCTTTTTTGAAGTAAATGAGTTGCGCAATCTAAATTTTATACTCAAACTCCTTCTCTTCCATTGGCGTAGAATTTTTAAAAGTGCAATTATTTAAAAAATCAAGTTCTACGCCCATGTATTATTATCGGACAAAATTTTAACACCATTTTTTTGCCACCTAAAATTCTATCAATATACCAAATTTCAGCGAAATCGCATATGTTGTTTTAAATTCATATGGGAAAAACGATTTGAAAATTGTAACTCCAAGGCCCTCTGGAGCCCAAACGATGCAACTTTGTACTGAGGTAATTTTACTTAAATCGACTTATTTTGGTCTAAGGAATATGTGGTATGTCTTTTAAAAGACCTTTTACAGACACCCTGTATAACCTGAGCATTATACAGGGTGTTTCAGTTTTTTGTAGCAGGACTTCAACAGCTTGTAGGAGATATTTTTTCAAGATGAAAGTTTCCCATAAACATATATGCATGGAATCTTATAGTTTCCGATTTACAGGATGGTAAAGTTTCAGGTTTTTTCTGTGTTTCTTGAATTTTCTCCCATAATTTTGAGAATAACTGATTCAAATTTGGTAGACGTGATACACTCCAAAAACTCAATATTTGAAGCTATTGAGCGTTTTTGAATACCTACAAGGTGATATACTT